CCATTCTCATCACATGGAGCAAGGGGACACAGAGCACAGTCTGAAGGGTGGTGCCAGGAAGGGTCACCAAGGGGCAAGATGAGAGTGGGAGCATGGAGAGATGGGGCAGGTGGCACTGTGTGTGGGGATGTTGGGGAGGTGGAGGGCACTCCATTGTGGGGGTGGGACACAGACACCAGTAGATGGGGTCACAAAGCTGGTCCTCTGCCACTAGAAGGTGCCACAGAAGATGGTCTCAGGTGAAAAAAGTTGGTCTTTGATGGCCAGGAGACAGTCTTGGATGACCAGGAGGTGGTCCTAGGTGGCCAGGAGGTGGCCTCAGATGTCTGGGAGATGGGCTTGGGTGGCCAGGGGACAGTCTTGTTTGACCAGGAGGTGGTTTTGGGGACCAGGAGAAGGTTTTGAGTGGCCAAGAGGGGCCTGTCCTGCCTGTGGTGCAGCCTGACCTGGTGAGGGTCTGTGCCCATATGTCGTTACTGAAGAGACCTGCCACAGGGACCTGGGGATGTAGGGATGGGCTCCATAGGCTCCCTGGGGGAGGACATCACATATGCCCTGGCCCTGTTGGAGGACATCATGTGTGTCCTCACCCTGGAGGTTGGGATGCAGTGTCCTCCTCCTGGGGTGGGGACAGGCAGCACCCACAGCCAGTGCAGACCATGACCAGGGTCTGGTGTGCCCCCCCATGCTGTGCTGGGCAGTGACCAACCCTCCTCTCCCTCCACAGCCTTGCCAGCAGCTGCCTCGCCAGGATGAACAGGATGGCCAACGTCAACTCCAGTGGCCGCAGCCACTACCCCTCCGCCATCCCAGTGCCCCGTGCCATAACCCATGGCAAGCTGCACACAGCAGCCCCCCCCAGCACCCCAGGGTCCCCCGTCCCCCACAGGGCTCTGTCCCCCTGGCCAGGGACGGTGCCAGCCCCCAAGATCCTCAAGCCCAAAGGCACTGGCAAAGCTGCCGGCCGTGAGCCAGCCAAGAGCAGGGAGGGAAGCCCCAGTGTCCCCCTTCGTGGCAGGCAGAAAGCCCTGGCAAGACCCCTGGTTTCCCCTGGGAAGCCTCCAGAGGCAGTGGGCAGCGGGAGGAGAGGGGCAGGCAGGGTGGGGGAGCCCACGGAGCTGCCCAAAGCTCCATCAGCACAGGGCAGGGCGGGGGGATGGCCGGAGGGGTCCCCTGGGAAGGGCAGCGGAGCAGCCATGGCGGGGACAGGGGATGAGTCCCATGGTGGCTCACAGGGGAGGGGCCCCGTATTTGGGTCAGGGGCCATCACCTTCTCCTCGGGCCCCCTGCACAGCCACCCCGTCACTGCCACC